ACTCCTTAAACCGGGAATACCCTAAACCCAAGGACCGGGATACTTCCTCAAACCTGCAGGATACTTCCTCAAACCTGGATCCACCCTCGATCACCTTGAGCAGGGTCATCTTACTAAAGCATACATGCAATGTCCCATCGAATGTCCTAAGCAGCATGGGGTACGCTGGCAAGGAGATTTTGATGCGTCATACCTACTTGGTAATGGCCCTCAGCAGTAAGGGAATCTGCCACCTTTGTGGAAAGGAAGAAACTGAAAAGCATTGTCACAGAAATTGATGGTGCCGAGTATTTTGCTTATATAATCTTGAGTATTAATTGGCATAAAGAAAAAATTCATTGAGTATGTGGAAGAGTACAAGCTGGGGCTCAGGAAGGTGATGAGCAAAGTTAGAGAAGTCTGAGTACAGCAGGTGAAGAGTGACTTGGAAGTCTTGTTACAAAGAGCATGTTCAGATGGGTTCTAACTGTCCCCACAAGCCACAAGCATGTAGGGGAGGGAAGGTTTGGCAGGTGAGGGTCTTGCCGGGAGTCTACAGAATGCCAGGCTCCCATCTGATTCCCACTGATGCAGAGATGGACTTCTGAAAAGGCGTGGGGGCAGGTTTAGTGTACAGTTTCTCTCTCTCTCTTCCTGGTGGTAACCTGCAGGGGCTCTCTGCTTGGAAGGCTTGAGCTACCTTGGACTTCTGATGAAGGAGGTTTCTGACAGGGAGAGGAGCCRTGTTGCTTTCATTTCAACTAATGTGTCATCCTCATCCTTGAATAGAACTTTCCTTTCTTAGGCTAGGGAGCAACAGACTGAAGTACTTATGAAAAATAAAAGCTTTGGATCAGGCATAAGTTAGTCTGATGAGTCAATAGCTGGGAACATTATGTTACTMCAAAAAGGCAAAGATGCTTGCTGACTGATGTCTTGGAGTACCACTCCACCACCAATCACTGGGGAGGTCAGGCAGAACATATGTATCCCACATTAAAATATCTTCCAACTGCCAATCTGAAATGTCTCCCTTAGAGTCAGGGAACTGCAAGCCCAACTGAGGCTTCAAGAGGGAAACTCCGTGCAGCGGAGAGTAAGGGTCTGTCTGCATCCCCACCCATCTGTGTATAAATCCCAACCTGGAGATTTGTTAGCTGTGTCTGTTAGTTAACTTGCTCTTGTTGCCTAATTTCTCAATAGAGTATTTAAACATCATAGTGACAAAATTCTGTTGGGTGGAAATGCAGGTGCCTCATTCTTAGTTTTGCTTTGGGCTGGGGTGGAAATATCACAGTAGACTTAGAATCCAGGGAAGAGCTTACTGCATGATACAGAAAATTAGAGAGTAATTAAACAGTGGTTGAGTGATGTATATGGAGGCTGGAAAAGCATGGTGTATAAATATGTTCCCTAGATTTTAAACTGCATATTGTCCCAGTTTTCTCCATTTGAAGGAGCTCCAGCTTGCTCTTGTTTACCCCCCAGTACATCTGACTCCATTCACAGCAAAGCATCAGGCCCAAGTGGAAGGGCACAGTTAGGAGGATAATGGTTGATTACGGGTTAAAGTCCCACTCCACCACTAACCGGGTGTACAACAGTGGCAGCTTATCTCACCCTTCTGAGTTTCCACAGATAAGAATAACCTTGATCTCCGAGGGCTCTGTAGAAAATTAACTGGTACCCCATGCMGAAGTGCTTTCTGCAGACAGGCATCCGCAGTGTCTACTTCACAGCACTGCCTGTGGGGTAGTAATGGCCTATCTTGAATGTATTAGAGAGCAAGGACACCCGTGAGAAACTCTGTAGGGATAATCACCTCCAAGGCCTCCTCCACCTACAGATTCCAAAATCCCATGAAATTGTCTGAAAATTGAATGGAAAATAGTCTTGGAAGAAAGTAGGAAAACCTACATTCAGTATTTTCCCCAAGGCATCCAGGCCCTCCCAAGGCTACCTTTTGTCAGCTCAGGGATCCCCCCATACACGCGTGCGCGCACACACACACACACACACACACACACACACACAAATGAGCCCTCCTTTGGAAGTAACCCATGTGAAACCACATGAGCTATCACTATCCCACTTCCGAAGTCGCAACCCTCAGCTCAAAGGGCACCTCCCAGACAGGCAGTGTGGTGAAATGATTAAAAACAAACATTGACAATTCCAAATGCTGGACGACTTGGGGAAAGATATTCAAATTTTCTGTTTTGTTTTCCCACATATAAAGGGGAAGTGGGGTGATGCTAGAAACAGACCCCTGACAGTGACCTGGAGTGTACTAAAGGAGCTAAAGTCTGCAAAGTGTTTAGCATAATGCCTGCCATGCCATCAGGACAYCGTGTGTAATGACTATTTATTTGACACACACTGTGATGATTACGCACTACCTAGTCCACCGCGCAGCAGAGAGGGCACTCGGTCATTCCCCCTGCAACTGTGCCCTGTCACTTGCCTAATGGTCAGTTTGGAGAGCCTCTGGCTACAGCCTTGTCTTCTGGGGACCAGAGCATCCTGGGAATAAGCAGGTTGCTTTCAACTTTGTAGACATTTGTGCTTGCCACATATTCTATTCTCTCTCTCTTTTAAATTTGTTTGTTTTAAAGTGGTTATGGGTATGAGAGATTTAAATGTCTTTATTTTTATAAATCAAGGGTGAAAGACATAAATACTACACCAAAATGTTTATCCCATAAATGATGTATGTGTGTAAAAACGTGGGGAAGCATAAACAGTGGGCTGTTAGAAGATGCTGCTTCCTGCAGGCAGATAGCATGAACACATATCCATCCCATTATCTCTTACCTGGATTGCCAGGGACAGGAATAATTTTCTCTCTTGGCTCCATACAGCTTGCTCCACAGTCATCAGCTCTGGTTTTCCCGAATGAAGAGTCCAAAGGTGTCCAGAAATAACATTTATTAACCAACAATAAAACACACAATAGAAAAGGCCTTATAAATAAAACTATATATTTATAATGCTTTATTGTTTTTGCTCCAGTACTCCACAAAACACTACAGACAGTAACAAAATAATTCAATAAATATTAAAAATTTTCAAGAGAATTATAGGACACTCTTTATCATACGTGAGCATCAACAATGCCACAGCCATTAGATACACTGTTAAACACTATCATAGATATCTTTCTTGAATAAAGGACATAATAATTTTTTTTTTTTAATCCGGAGTCATAACATTTACACAGATCCATACACAAGAGAACAACTCAGAGCGAGTGAAGCAGACTCCCCAGTGACCTGGAATCATCTGCCTGTACATCATTTAAAGATATTACAGTGTTAACAGGATAGAAGTCAACACACTAAAGAGAAATGCTGGGGTTCACTTGGGGTGAGAGGAGTGAAAATTGGGCAGTTGAGGAATGCCGCCTACATATTTTCCATGGCTCGCTTGGCAATGTGCTCCCGCCCCTTTTCTGCCTTTTCTTGGTTGAGGTACTCCAGAACTTTCATTAGCAGGTCTTCATCCAAGTACTGTCTGTTCGGGGTGTCGTCGTTCTTCGGGGACCCCACCGGGAATCTCTTGCTCACCGGGGACGGGTTCTCAGTCTCCTGAGAGTTGCCTTGGCTCAGATGCTCCTTGATGGCCTGCTCCAGCTGGTCTTCTTCCTGTAGGTCATCTTCAGATGAGCCTGGACTGGACACTCGCTTCACCTGGTTTGAATTCATGATCTCAGGGTACTTCACCAGCATCCGGGCCAAGTACTCTCCCAATTCTTGATCCTTGTCGTTCGGGTTTTCCAACGCCACTTGTCTGTTTTCAACATCAGGCATCCAGGCAGCTTTGGGAAGCTGGTTTGCTCTAGATCTTCCAGGACCAGGACCGTAGGGGAGCCTCGGCAGAACCTTCTCTCTGTTATACGGATTGGGAAAGTATGGAGATTTTTGATTGGTGGCACTCTCCATCCCTAAAAGATTTAAAATGTCCTCAACGCTGAGTCCATCTGGTAAGGCCTCTGTCACGGCATGACCAGGTGTCTTGGGGTACCCACTCTTGGAGAGCATCTTATTTGGGAGCAGGTCCGGATGGTCTAAGTCAGCCTCTGAGACGTCGTCTAGGTCAGCAGGAAGGTCGAGGTCCTGCTCGGGCTCCACTGACCCACTTGGCTTCTCCCCAGTTTTGAGCATGTCGATGAGGTCTTCAGGGGGGATCTGTAAATTCCTGGAGATTTCAATCAACTGATAAATGGACTGAGAATCAAGTGGTTTCTCAAAGAGCTTGGCTGCTCTTTCCCCATTTTGCCCATTCTGAGACCTCCCACCCCCGGCGGCACTCACTAACCTTTTCAAATAGGCGATCACTTTGGCAACGTCGTCTGAGAGCTGGGCCTTATTCTCTTTCTGGAGATCTTCATCCTGCAGCCCCTGYGGCCCCGAACGCTTCATTTCTTCATTGATGTGTTCATTTTTTTCCATATTCTCTTTGCTGTCCCTCACCTCTTCCTGGGTGTGAGTCTCTATTTTCTCCTCCACGGGGTTCCAGTCTTCTCCCCCGACCACATCTTCATAGGCGATGTTACTGGCCTTGTAGATGTCATCTTCGTCATCTGTGTACAGCTTCTGCTCCTCATCGGCCCTCTCCCTTTTCTGGCTGCTTGGTCCCGTCAGTTTCCCCAGCTCTTGGAAGACAGACTCCAGGGTAGCAAGACTTTGAGGTGTGTACTGTTCCTCTACTATTTCATTGGTGCGTTTGAAGGGGTTGTCCCTGGAATTCTCTTCATACATCAGAGGGAATCGCATGTGCTTGAGCTTCCTCTCTGGCCACGGCTGAGTTTCATAATCATCCGTCACATCCCCAGGGAAGTTCTTTTCCGGATTCATGGCATAGGGCTTGTTTTCTTTCTGTACAGACTGAGGCTCACTTTCTGCCTGCCTCAGAGCTTCAAGGATTATCTTCATCCACTCGTCTTCGCTCAGCGAATCCCTTGAGCTCTCCAGCAGGTGGCTTTCYTCACCATTTTCTTTTGGCTGAAGGGGAACAGAGACACCTTGGTAGGGATTATAGTCTGGGCTGCTTTCTTCTCTGTGAGCTTGCTGCCGGAGCTTTTCTATGTACTCCAAAGCCCGGATCATCTCGGGACTGGGAAACTTTTGGGCATTTTCCAATCTTGGGTCTGGTTCTTTCTGAAGCAGCTGGTTTCTCTGGAATGAAGCTGCCTCAACTCCAGAGATGAAGAAAATTAAATGGATGAGAGACAGGGCTGCTCCAAGCTGGTGGGTCTTAGCTTCTGCCATGTTTTAAAGATTTCCTTAAAGCATAGAAAACATGAATTAAGACAAATGAGACTGACTAGAAGACACTATAGCAAAACAAATAAACCACTGAGCAGGAAAAAAAAAAGACGAGACAATTTCACATTGCACTGAAGATAGCTCTCTAAAGTCCACAAATTATCTTCCATGTGATTCTCCCAAACTAACTCCAGGAATCTTTAGCAAAATTGCCACTCATTTGCATCAAACTTGCATAGTTTCCTCAGTTAAAACAGTAACAAAAACACTGTCATGAGTTTTCTCAAATTGTTTCATTTCTAAAACATAGTTTGATTTTTAGTACATGTTGTTTTTTTTTAATAAAAGAGGAAAAAAACTCTCCAAGATAAATTGCAGTTACCTCATATAGCATTATAGTAAAACCATTGGCAAAATAATTTGTTATAAAACACACAGATACACACACAATTTTATCATGAAGATTGTAACAAAAAACATGTGGTTTGTTTTATGAATTATTCATAAATTTTTGTTGTAGGAACACAACAGAAGCAGTTGTTATATATTGATACTATACAGTATATTAGTGTCAATTTGCTATATATATTGATGCTATACAGTATATTAGTGTCAATTGTATGGAATTTCTGGATGGATATCATATGGATATTTTTCAGAAATAATTTTTCTTACTCTGACATCAAATCCATCTAGCAATTAATGACCTTCTTCAGGTCATAGCAAGTAGGCTCAACCAATATAGTTTCTTTCTGTGTCAGAAAAATCTCTGTGCTCCATATTTCTTCTAATAATTAAATTATGACTACTTGCAAAACACAATTATGGTTATATTTTTCATCAGCCCTCAAGAGTGTATAGTAAATAATAACAGATGTTACAGAGAGAACATAAGTTTACTTAACTAGTCTATTTCTAAACTTGTAAGTGCTCAGATTCAGTTTGTCTTATGTCTGTGTCTATTTTTGTGTGGACCTGTGAAATCTTAAAATGACTCATACTGTTAAAAAAAGCTTAAAATAACTACTATGTAAATCCCAATTTAGATAAACACAGACAATGTGTTGAATTCTTCCTACTTAAAACTCTTCATTCATTTTTTTTCTCCAGCTCTTTAAAAATCTCATGAATTAGCAAGAGGATTAGTTTTTACATGTTTTATATTTGGCATTGCTGATGTTGAAAAGCTATTTCAACAGCAATTTCATTGTAAATAAAATTCATTTAAAATAAGTTCACAAATTTGTTCATGTCTTCACCGGATCATGGTTTTGTGATAGATAAGATATATGTGCAAAATTTTCTGTTACATTTGAAATCAATTGTGGAAAGTACCATTGTTCACTAGATCATATCAGGAATTAATGTTTTCAGTTTTAGAGCTTAAAATAGTATAATTATAGAAACTTTACACAGTTACATTACTTCTATTAAAATAATCCCTATTAACTCAATTACTTAGTTTAGTGAAAGAAAAGCCTCTAAAGGTATTTCAAAGAATACATCCAAAATATTTGCCCTGAATAAGTGTGTACTATAATTTTATTCATAAAATTCTTAGATTTAAGTACATTATACATATTATACATTCCTCTTCATATTATTTCAAGATTAATTTAGTTTTGGTAATCATTTTCAATACTGGCTTTTTAAATAGTAATCTTAAAACCTGATTGAAATTATTTTCTTGGAAACTGTTTTCTTTAGTTATTCTTAATATATGGATTATGTGCTTGTCTTTAAAATTGGTTCTTTGGAAGTAGGTTTTGCTGTAGAGTTGGAGTGAAATACTCATTGCAATTGTTTAAACCACAGCTAACAAGTACTACCCTTTGGTCATTTATCCCGATTCAGTTTGCATGACATAGTCACAGCCTTTCAGACTCAAAAGATTTCTTTCCCTGGTTGCAGTTCAACAGCTCTAATATATGATACAGGGTTTGAGTTAAAATTTAATTTTCTATCAAGATCACTTGATAGCTATCATTAAAATATGTTAAGCTAAAATGTCATTTATACCAAAATCAGACAGGAACATCAACAATGGAGCAGTAACACATGTGGATATATCTAATTTGAGCAATTCAACTAGTTGAGATAAAAAAAAAACTTGATCCAAATCAAAATCTTTAGCAAAGTATTGTACAATCTCTTTCAATCGAAGAACAATAATTCCAGTAATAATTTGTACAGTTWTGAATGTTCTCAACATGTATTCAACATCATCATTTCTCTATAATTCATGGTCATATCTAATCTGTACCCCAAGATACTATTTCACCCTAGAAAAAGGAAGAAGTCTATTTTTATGATCATTCTAAGCTACTTCCTCAGGACTACAATTTAGAGATAATAATGGAAGCCCTTAATATTACCATTTCAGAAAATAATTAAATATAGTTAGTTAATTTAGAGCTCTTGTAAGGTAAATATGGAAGGAAAGAATAGTTCTAAATTGGTTTTCTCTATGACTAATGTGTCTAACAGCCCTTGAATCATTGGTAACCTACTGTTACGAATATTAAGCACATAAATTATATCCCTGGGTTTGTATCTGGCTCTTAAGCAACCACACATTAAGGAAGGAAACAAAATATCAGGTGTGGCCAACTTTATGTTAATATGTGTATTGGCACTAAAATCCTTAACTTTTCACTCTTTTTACATAGGGTTATCTGATAGCATTTAAGTTAATAAATAGCCAACAGCGAGTAGGAGAAATCACAGGCGCAATCATAGACATACACATATGGTATCCTTACATTGGCGGAAGAGCAGCAGGTTGCTCTTCAGTTTTCTGTCGATTGTAAGCTTGTCAAGCGTTCGTTTTTTCTTCTCAGTTAGGAATTGAGGGGGAAACACGCAGTTCGCAACTTTCCAGTAAATCCAAGAGAAAAGCAGCCTTACCTCTGTCTYACAGGGCAGGGAAGGTCCACAGCATGTTCCTCCTGGTCCGCAGGCTGAGCTCCTCGGGCCGTTTCAGCACCCGGACAGCTCCTGGGCTTATAGGGAGCCGCCGCGCCTGACTCCGCACTGCACACTGACGTCACCGGCTCAGCCACAAACCCCAGCACAAGCGAGCTTTTTCAAAGGATCCCAGAGAAAATAATCACTTGATGTATTTTTTAAAGTGTTGCATGCTTACGCCACCTGTCTTTTTGTGGGAAAAACTGCAGTTCCCCTTTTTCTTTTTTCAAAATCTTTGAGGCTTGAAATAAAATGCTTTGCACAAATTCCCTTAGAAATCTGTCAGATAGACATGACTAATTGCAAGATAATTTCGTCTGTGTTCTGATGTTCTAATACCTTGCTATAATGGTTTTTGTTGTCACTTTTGTTGGTTTTGCTGCCATCCTCACTGTTAGAAGAAAAGTTTTGCAGATAAGGATTATTTTGTTTCATTGTCCACGAAGAAATTGCTTTATCATTTCCTGGTATTACCTAAGATGAATGGAGGACATGTTATGAATATGTCATAACCACAGGCATCATTCTTCTAAATATCATGTTTATTTGAATAAAAAGGAGAGCTGCCTATTTTTATATGAGAATCTACTTGAAAAGCTTCAAAATGTTTTTTTGAAATAGATAGTCACAAAATTTCAAGTATAGCAGCTGGTAATTCTATATGAATCTTTTGGTATCTTTTGCAATATCTGATCTCAGAAAGGGAAGCTCAGAAGTTAGCATTGATGAAAATACTTCGACCAGGAAAAAAACAAATTACTTTCCTGTTGAAGAAAAATGTGACACATTTATAATTGGAATTCTCTTGCAATCAAGAGAAATTTTTCTTCTTTTGTTGAATCAGATGAGTTGAATGCCTTCCATGAATGGGGCCAATTCAGGGAATAATATAGTAGTTAACTCCCAACCTCTTACATTTATAATTCATAATCATTGCTGTGCTTTGCCATGTTACCTGATTGTGTATATTAATAATTTATGTAGGTCTAAATTTTTAATTTTATTTTATTAAAGGTATGAATCCTCTAAAAACTGTATATTTTGAAATATACTCTAAGAATACAAAAGAATTTTGCTACAAGAGATCCTTTATGTCTCTGCTAAGTGAATATTAGTCACTGATTATATAATCAGTCCAGAAGTTGCAATACCTGCTAAGTACCAGATATATTGCTAAATGCTGATAATAGAAAAATATTTTTTTTGCCTTTGGGAAGAATTTAACTTGATAAAAATGACAAATAAATAAATAGATGATTTTTACATAAATTGGAAAGCACTAAGAAACTGGTTAGTCAGGATAAAAATTGGTTCAACATAGAAACTGAAGGGGCACAAGGAAGTCCTCCAGATGAATAGAACTAAGCTTAGATTTATCATTATCAGGTCTTTAAAAAGTGATTTCTAACTACACTAGATAAGCCACAGTACTCTCAAATTTATCAAGGAACGTGGAAATAGTTTAAAATCTTTTGAAAATAAAATCTTGGTAAAAGTGACCCTTGATTCTCCCTATTGGCTATCCTGGTGAAGGCATTGATTTYCCTAAATGATGAGGAGACAGTTGGATGTTGGTTGACAAGGAACTCAGATAGCTGCATGCTGGAGTCATATGGCCAATTCCTCTAATATTCCTTATAAAGGGCTTTTAGTGCATGGTCAAGAGCTGGGTTGAAGAGACTTGAGTGAACATGTCCTATTTACGAGGCATCATCTTAATGACACCAGTTCATTCATTGATAGCTAAGATTTTTTTTTTTTTTAAATCTTAACAAAGATCTGGCTAGCTATTATGGGTTTGGCCTAATTTTCTGTCCAGGATTTCTATGTGACCAGTCGAGCTGACCAGTATCAACACAGCCTCAGAAAATTCTGCAGTCAGTTCAACACAATTAAAAGCCCTCAAGGAAGTTGCTTTGAGCAGGTCAGTTCATTTACGTAAGCCTGAACGTATTTGGCAAGGACCACAAGCTGTAGTTCTTCTAGGGCCCTGAAGTAAAATTCTTGCCTAGAAATGCCTTTAGCAACCGAAAAGA